CCCCAAAACCCCAAAACCCCAAAACCCCAAAACCCCTTTAGGGGAATAAGAAGTTGGGAACATTAAAATAAGCATAGTTTAAATTTGAAAATGGAATACGGCAATAATCAAGAAGTTAACTCAAGAGATGCAAGCAATCCTTATGACTTCAAAGGTGTAGAGGTATGATTTTAGTTTTGAGTTTATGTTGGAATAGGTTTAATTAACTTCTTTTTTAGGCGAAGCCACCTCCAAGTTCTTACAACAATCGGAATATTATCAGCAGGCAGAAGCAGACAGCTATGGGAACAGCGATGAGGCTTGGGACTGGAGCTCAAAGATTAGGAACTGCAATGAAGTCTGCTAAAGGAGCTGGGTATCAATCAAAAGAAAAGTTTGACCCACTATCTGGTAAAGGTAAAGTTTCAAATTTTGACATAATAGGTCCGGCTGAAGCTCTTCAAAAGAAAACTGAGAAAACAGAGGAAGAAAACTATAAAGAACTCGAAGTTGAAGTCCACACTCTTCTAGAGCAAAGTGCAGAAGCTAAAATTAAGAAGAACTTTGTTGAAGCTCTCTCTAAAGCCAAAGAAGCTGCGAATAAAGAAAAGAAGATCAGACAGATTAGAGAGTCAACTGGCAACTTAGACCAGGTGAACATTGATCTGACCTTCTATGTTTTCTATAACTTGGCTAATATGTATCATGCTAACCAAATGTATCAAGAGGCTCTAAACAGTTATACAATCATTGTCAAAAATAAGCAGTATCCTCAAGCTTCAAGACTAAGGGTTAACATGGGAAATATTTACTTTGAGCAAAAGAAATATCCACTTGCCATCAAGATGTATAACATGGCTTGGGACTCAGCCATGCCTCAAAACAAAGAGATGAGGATGAAAACCAAGAAGAACATTGGTCTTTGCTATCTTAAGCTAGGAGCTTACGGAAAAGCTATTGAAACTTATGAAGATATTATGAACGATACTCCTGAATTCGGCGTTGCCTTCAACCTGCTCGTCTGTATTTATGCACTTGGTGATGCTACCAAGATGAAGAGTTGGTTTGAAAGAATGCTGATGATTGATCTCCCCGGAAGTGAAGAAGAAGAAACTGAGGAAATCCTCGCGCTTCAGAACAAAAATAAGGGGGAAGAAGAAGCTTCTGATATCAAAGATCCTCTCAAAGAATACTTTAAAGCAAAGAAGAAGGAAGCTTTGAAAAGTATCACTGATGCTGCTAAGCTTATTGCTCCAGTCATTGAAGAAGACGTTGTCCAAGGATATGACTGGGTCGTCGAGATGCTCAGAACTGCGAACCTCCAAGAAGTTGAAAGTGAAATAGAAATTGCCAAAGCTGTTCACTTCATAAAAACTAAGGATATTGAGAAGGCAATAGAGCTCTTTAAGAGCTTTGAGAAGAAGGATAATATCATGATGGCAAGAGCTGCTAATAATATATCTTTCTTGTACTTCCTAGAGAATGATTTCCCTAATGCTGAAAAGTTCTCTGACATGGCTATTCAGAATGACAGATACAATTCTAAAGCACTGGTCAACAAAGGGAACTGCTTGTTCAATGATGAAGAATATGACAAAGCAAAGGAGTTCTTCCTTGAAGCTATTGGTGTGGAAGCTGATTGTGTAGAAGCTATTTATAATCTTGGATTAGTCTACAAGACTCTTGGATATTATAATGAAGCATTGCAAGCATTCGAAAAGCTCCATTCGATTGTCCCAAACAGTGAAGAAGTCATTTATCAACTAGGCCATATCAACGAATTGATTGGACTCAGGAGACAAGCTCTAAAGTGGTACTTAATTCTGATCACCAAAGTCCCAACTGACTCTGAAATTCTCTCCAAAATGGGATTCCTGTATCAATTGGAAGGAGATGAATACCAGGCTTTACATTACTACCAAGAAAGTTATCGCTACAATCCTTCTAAGATTGATACTCTTTCATGGCTTGCGATTCATCATGTGAAGCAAGAAAGTTATGAGAAAGCTATTGAATTGTTTAACAAGGCAACCCTTATTGAGCCAAAGGAAGTTAAATGGAAACTTATGGTTGCTTCATGCTACAGGAGAATGAACTTATTCCAACAAGCTCTGGAGCATTATGAAGAGGTTCACGAAACCAATCCTGACAACATTGAATGATTGAGATATCTTGTTGCGATCTGTAAGGATCTTGGCAAGAAAGAATATTATGAATATTCAAAGAAATTAGGGAAGCTTGAAAGAAACCAAGATATGAACAATCATGGAGGAATGATGCCAACACGAGGAGAATTAGAGAATAATATGGACCAATACAATAATCCTGGCGGACAGCCAGGGTATGGCGGTCAGCCTGGGTGCGGAGGAGCAAATGATCCTTATCAAGATCAAACTCCTATGCAGCAACCAGAGAAAAGATATATTCAACAAAGAGATGACAACGATGATGACTGGGGAGAAGACGTCGATGTTGACGGTCTACTAAAATAATTGATTTTTCAATATTGCTAATCCCTAAAGGGGTTTTGGGGTTTTGGGGTTTTGGGGTTTTGGGGTTTTGGGG